GTGTACGTAAAGAAAGTGGAAAAACAAAGGAAGACACATACCGTACGAAAAGGGAGGAGAAAGAGAAGAAGCGGAAAACCCAAGCGAACACTGGACGAAACGTGTCTCGAACGCTCGAATAGAATAAATTAGAATTAATGCTAGATCGTAGCCGCGAACGATGCCACCGTTGAACCAATGGAAATCGGCCGTGCCGAACGTAACCGCTAATTTAGCAATCGACGTTGATTGTCTCGACGAAATTGTCCTCCGGAGCCGATAACGCGGTAACGTGCGACGCCGACGCGCGTCGGCCTCGTTATTTCCGGCATTGTTACGATTTCCGAAAATTTCCCGATGCACGCGTGAACCGGGGGGTCAGGGGGGAGGAACGGAAAAGCGTTTCGGTATTTCATTGCACCATTTCCCGCAACAACGGTATTAAGTAACTTTCCTTTGGCTGCACCTTAAGGTACCTCTACTACGCGCATTTCAGATCGTCACATTCGTCGCTCTGTTGTAAGAAGACAGGTAGGAATGGCGTGCGAACGAGGCGAAACGAGCGACCAGGCCGTTCGTTTGTCGTTTCGTTCGCCGTTTCTCGACCAGTTCCATTTTCTTCGCGTTTGAGTCTGGACGGGAAACAGGATGAAACAGGAGAAAGACGGAAACAGGATGACAGGAGACGGGCGACCGCGCGTCTAGTACCTCGTCAACGTTCTACACGTAGGATAAGCGATGAACATTACGATCATTAACTTACGTACATTAACTTAGTTTATTTTCACGTTTTGTACTGCGACTTTCCTCGTAATATCGTGCCAGGCGGTACCCACGCGACTACCTCCGACAACCACCCTTCGTAGACTAATAGTAATACAAAAATGAAAGGGAACGCGCTCGCCTTTTCCTCTTTCTTTCGCCATACGGAACGGTCAAATGAAAGATCGAAGCAAGGAAATGTTCGCTCGCGAACAACGAGTCCCTAAACGTTCCGAATCTTGCTCGACCCGGGCACCTACCTATTATCTTATGTACACTCGAATCAACGTATATATGTATATGTATGTATATATGTATATATATATCTCTCTTTTTTTTTTCGTTTTTTGTAACCTTAGTAGAAAAATTAAACTTTCCGCGTAATTCGTGCGCCTCGAGGTCTAGCTTCGTTTTCCGTGTTTTTTAATTTTAGCATTTTTCTTAACTTTTTTTTTTTTTCGTTTTATTTTCGGTTTTGTTCTTTTTTTTTCCTTTTTCCTAGATTCCAATGCTCATCCGCACGAAGGAAAATACGAGAAACTATTATAATAACGGTATATCGCCTACTATCACATGATCTTTCTTGAAGACGGGGCACACGCACACCCCTCGCCGGAAGGCGGTTGCTACGCCGCCTCGTGGAGGAATAAATGCCGGCTAATGATCCGCGGTATGCGCTAGAGAAGGTATGCAAAAACCGACAGCCTATCGTAAGTAAGTATCTCGAATAAAGGAAATAGGACGCGTTCGGTAATCCAACGGTACTGCCGTGAAGCCGATATTATAAATCCGACCAGTGCGTAAAGGAGATTCTTTAACGACTCGTCCACGACACGTGTGCGTGCGTGTGTACATCGAACGTTATCTCTCGAAGAACGTTAACTCTCGCTCTAACGGTGGTGCGTAACCGTGTTCGCCGCACACGCGAAACACCGGCACCGTTCTCGATCCCTATGTTCTCGAAATTCACTGGAAATTCTCGGAGAACGAATGGCGAGAGACTCAGAGGACCAAGAAATTCGTCGAAACTTTCCTGGACCCCCTGGTTCTCGTTTATCCCAATCGCGACGACTGTTGCTGTTGTTGCTGATCCTGGTGCTGTTGTTGTTGTTGTTGTTGCTGTTGTTGTTGTTGCTGTTGCTGAGAGCTAACTCTGTCCGAGTGTTCTCTCTGCTCTCTCTCCCGTTCGCGCATCTGTTCCATCTCCTTGCGTTGCTGCTCGTTCTTGCTGTGTTGCCGATGATAGATGCTCTTGTGGTTCCGCAGGCTGTTCAGGCTCGAGTAAACCCGCTTGCAGATGTTACAGATCGGTTCCTTGCTGGGCCTGGTGTGCACGTTCTGTATGTGCCGCCTCAACCGCGTTAGGGAGGTCAGGATTTTGTTGCAAGGCTCGCATCGAAACTCATCGGACGCGCCGCTGCCAGCCAACTGACCTGGCGGCAGAACCAGACACAGGGGTTACTTTTGGTTTTGTGCTCGAACGTCAGGTCGGACGTAGGTCGGACACGTTAACACGGAACGAGGAAACCCGTTCCCCTCCGGTCTAGAGTCCTCTCTCTAGTCAGACGTATCGCGTGTCCCGCGATCCTCGTCATGTTCTCACTCTTACACCACCATCTACCACCTTTTTTCCGAGCCGAGAGAGAGAGAGAATTCGTGCGCCCTTCTCGATTAGTCGCGCACATTGCACCACCGTCACCCGACCAAGCCGTGCTCAAACTGTCTTTTTTTTTATTTTTATTTTTATTTTGCGTTACTTTGGAACCACGTAATTACGCTTGCAGGTGCTACCACAGCATCTTCATCGTACGCACATTCTACTTATCGTCTTTTTACCTTTTTTTTTTTTTTTTTTTTTTTTTTTTTTTTTTCTTTTTTTTTTTTTTTTTTTTTTTTTTTTTACTGTGTTACACTATCTATAGATGGCGTGCGTGCTTTCCAGGGAAAGTACCTTCTGCCAGCGCGCCGTCTTACCATTGTCACCGTTTTCTAATTTCTTTTTTCTTTTTTTTTTTTCTTTTCGTTTCTTTTCGGACGCGTTACCTCCCGGCATAAACTCTTCGAGCTTAGCCGTTTTCGTCTCGTCTTCGAAACTCTACGAAACGATTAGAAGAACGGTCAAAAGATCCTTTTTTCCGGTTGCCGTTACACTGTATCGTCACGTACGACTGGAAATATTGGAACGAGATCGTTCGACACGGAGAATCGTTAACGCGTGTTAATCGTAATCGAGTTCGCTCGTAACGACGATGACAATGGCCACGACTAGATTGCAGAAGGCTCTTTTCCGGATCGGAAGGCAGCGTGAGCCGTACTGTTTTTCACGATTCATCGTTGTGCTCTTTTACATATTTTTTTTTTTTTTTTATTTTACTTTTACGTTTCTTACTTTGATTACTTTTATATATATATATATTTTTTTTTTTTTTTTTTTTTTTTTTTTTTTTAATTTTTTTTTTTTTTCATTTTAGCAAGCAATTCCAAGATTCCAGTGAACGATCGTGAGCGATGACGTTAGTGTTTTCAGAGCACCAGAGATGTAATCCATGTCGATGCGTATTATTTACAGCAAGACAGAGCAGAGTAGATCTTGTAGGTAATACGTGTGTGGATATATATATACAAGAGTGTGATATTTGATCTAACGGAATGATGCGATGAAGCGAACAGTCGATTGTATTTATATATATATATATGATTTGTCAAACGAAAACGCCTATCAGGGATCGAGTTCACTTTCGTTCGGTACTACGTGGCGCCCCGGGTTGGTATGTATTTTGTCAGTGAAACAACAAGTTTTCGTTCCATCGAATTCTCTTTTATTTTCTCAATTCATTTCTAACGACATTCAACGCTATACTAGAGCAACAGTTTTACGTTTCGCGTTTTGCCTTAGCGTTAACTACGGATTCCGCGAGCGTTCGATTATCGTCTTCACGGAGAATGACGATGCACCAGGTGACGACTCTGTTATTGTTATGTCAGCGAAGTACATAAAAAAAAAGAAAAAAAAAAAAAAAAAAAAAAAAAAAGAGAAACGAACGGTCGCGGTTGGAGCATGAGAAAGGCGCAGAGACGCGAGGGGTAGGACAGAGAATGATACGAGAAACGATATGGAAAAACGACGAGTTCGGAACCGTATCGGAACCGAAAAATTGTTTTTAAAGGCCCAGAACAGATAGATGGGTTATAGTCCAATCGACCGATAAATAGATTCGTCCTTGGTAAGCGCGTTTCGCGAGAGATACCGCCTCGCGTTTAGGCCGGGGGGGAAAAAAAGTATCGTACGTACTCTATCGGCGAAAATTCGAAGCGACGAGGATTTTCGTCGCTCGATCTCGGGCTCGATCGAGAGAAACGAGACTGTGCGGTACACGCGCGGCTTACGATACTACGTTCCATCGATGGGTAGCAGCGATAGTCGCCGCTAATCGACGGGAAAACGCAAGAAACTCGACTTTATCGTCGGCAACGCGGGGTAGGTAAACTACTACCCCCGGCTGGCTCTGACGGGGTAGATGAGGAAGAGCACAGTCGTACCGAAGGAGAGTGGTATCGATTTTGCCGCGGAAAGACACTCGTCGCTCGGAAAGCCATGAACTTGGCACGGAACTAGTCCAGATGGCGGAACATATTTAGTAGCAGGGTGCACGACACGTTGGCGCGTGTGAACGCGACTGGATCGACTAGAGCGAGGAAACGGGACGTTCGCGCGAACCTCGCAGGTATATAACTAACGCGTACGTGTCGACTCCGCGGCTCTCTTTGGCGTCTTAGCATCGAGGTAACTGGTTTTTACGATCAAAAGACTAGGATCGCGTTGTACGCGGCGGAAACGCGCAACCGAAACGAAACGAAACGAAACGATTCGATCCACGGCGATATGTACAAAATTAGCTAGGTAAACGACGGCTATGGTGGTCTCTTTGCTTTCTCATGCCGGGAAACGAGAGAGAGAAAGAGAGAGAGTAAGAGAGAGAAAGAGAGAGTGAGAGAGATAGAAAGAGAGAGGGAGAATCGATCGCGCACCAAAATGGCACGCGTTCTCTCGCGTTGGATAAGAGAGAGAAAGAGAGAGTGAGAGAGATAGAGATAGAAAGAGAGAGGGAGAATCGATCGCGCACCAAAATGGCACGCGTTCTCTCGCGTTGGTTCCTCTCCTTTGCCCGTCTCTTCGTACGTCTGGGGGGTGTTGTCTGTGGCTCTCGGGGCAAGACGGAACCTCCACGCAAATTCGGTCACTAAACCATGGATGCCGGTCAATACGTGACCTCGCACTGTTCCTCGTGTTCCTTTCGCTCTTTCCTCGCGTGGTACTGACTCTTGTGACTGACCAGACTGTTCCTCGACTTGTAACTCCTGCCGCACTGATCGCAGGACAGCGATTGCGGCACGTAAAAATGCGTGTCCGCCAGGTGCCTCTGAAGGGACCAGGCACGGGAGAAAGTCTTCTGGCAGAAGCTACAGTAAGTACCGCTGATCGAACGGCTCGAGTACTTGAGCTCTTGCTCGACATGCGTCCTGGAGGCGTCGCGAGTCTTCGACGCTGGCTGAACGTTTCCGTTCTGCGTTAGCCAGCGAAGATCAGCGAATGGAACGGTTTCGTTCAACGGTGTCGTCCTCGATTGCTGTTGCTGCTGGTGTTGCCTGTTGTTATTGTTGTTGCTACCGGTCTGCTGACGGGTGCGCGGACCGTTAGTAGAATTGTTGGTCGAGCCGCGATCCGACTGCAGATCGATTTGCTCGCTGAGCAGACAGGACTCGAGCTCGTCTATCTTGGGCGAGAGAGGTTCCGACTTGAGCTCGATCTGCATCTGATCGTTAATGTCGTCTAAGAGATCGATAATGGGCAGCTCCTGGTGCTGCTGGTGCCCCTGCATCATCTCGCACTGACTAGTTCCTGTACTTTGGCTCGATTGGCCGGTTTGCCGTTGATTGTCTCCGTTGGTAGCGGACTGCCAACCCCCGTCCTCCTCGGCGACCTCCCGGTCTGCAACCAAAGAGGAGGGGGCTGAGTCCATCGAGATGTCAACCGAGATGATCACGCCGATCAATTACCAGCGATTCACGAGCACAACGATCTCGTTGTTTCGCATAGAAAAACCGCTCGCGGATCGCGGCAGACTCGCGCTCGCGCGTGTCTTGGCACGCGCGCCTCGCAGGCGTAAGAAAAGAAGGAATCGAGTAAATCACGGCTCTCGTTTTCCGACTAAACGGGTACGGATGTCGTTAATCGTTGGCCCGGTTCAAAGGAGGTGGAAGAATCGCGGAGGTAAGAATCGGTGAGGAGAATCGCGAAGAAGACGGGGCGAGATGGACGCGGGAGAAAGAGCGAGAGAAATGGATCGGGGCGGGAAGGGGCTGGAGGGAGGGAAGAAGGAAGGTTGAAAGGTGGGCTAGGGGAGCTCAGGAAGGTAGGGCGAGTGTACATTCATCGTCTCATAAAAGCCAGTATAACGTCCGCGAGGATGAGATGTCGATACAACGAGAGAGCAGCGGTAGTAACAGGAGTAAGAGTAAGAGTAAGAGCAAGAGCAAGAGCAAGAGCAGGAACATAACGGCGATGCTTCTTCTTTGCGGGATTTTACCCAGCCGGTTACCCTAGCAACGCAACCCCCCACGTACGACGCTCCTTCCCCCGTTTTTCCGTGGTACTGGGAAGGGGATATATACCTAGGATGCGTATTATTCTTAATAACCCCCGTATGCCGTTGCGCTGTATTATGACTGATGTTGACTCTAAGCGCGGAGAGCCACGGCGATCGATAGCTCGCTACCACCGCGACTATGAAACGGGGAAAGAGAGAGAAAGAGAGAGAGAGAGAGATAGCGGGAGAGAGAAGGAAGGAAAGAGAAAGAGAGAGAGCGAGAAAGTACATCGCGACTAAGGGAGGGCCAAGGGGTTGTAAAGAGGAGAGAGAAAGAGAGAGAGAGAGAGAAAGAGGGAAAAGTGGAGGAGGATAGGGCCGAGGAGATCGGCGGGGAGAGAAAAATCTAAGTAGCTTCCGGATTGGTTACGCGAGTCTTACGAACTTTTGAAAGAGTTACGTGGACAGTGGTGGGGACGAAGACGGGGGTTGCGAAGCAAGGAGGACGCCAGGAAGAACTACCCTCTCCTCCTCGTCGACCGCGGCCCTTTTTCCATCCGATGCGGTTGCGCGTTTCGCGAAATCAGTGCGATCAAACGATACGAGTCTCCTTCTCGGTTATTGGATCGTACTTAGTCACGGAGAAACGGATCCGTTTCTACGCGGATGAGAACGAGCGAGGGCGAAGCGTGGCGCACCCCTCGACCGAAAAAATGGTAAAACGCTTTTCTCGAAACCAGCGTGCGAGAACTCGGTCGAGCGAACGCGCCACGAGGCACCTATTTTTCCTTTCCCCTTTTTCTTTCTCCTTTTTCTCGATGCGTCGAATTGCACGGAACGTTAATCAAACTCGCCAACGATAAGAGAAGAGAGAAAGAGAGAGAGAGAGAGAGAGAGAGAGAGAGAGAGAGAGAGAGAGAAGCGCGAACGCACCGAGCGAATTTCTTTGCGAGAGACGTGGTCGCACGCTACCGAAGACTAGCGGCGGAGCTCGAAACTAAAGTGTCTCAATGAATTAAGCACCGCAACCAAGTAGACCTTCACCTTGTCTCGAACCGTGTTACGCCTCTCCTCGGATCTCTCGGAGATCGCGCGATTCGTCGCGATACGCGTAAACGAGTTTCGCTAAATTTCCAATTCACCTCGCGAAAATACTCTCGGGTGAAAATTCGTCGGCGACCCGTCGTCGATCGTAACCGGTTCTTCGCCTCTCTTACGTAACTCGCTGCGCGAATTCCCAAAAAGTCGATCTCGAATCGATCGAAAAAACGAGAGAGAGGGAGGTAAGGAAGGTGGGAGGTAGGGAGGGAGAACGAAAAAGAGAGAGAGAGAGAGAGAGAGAGAGAGGTTGGAGATGCGCTCGAAAGAGCGGAGACGCGGAGAAATTTGTCGGAAGAAGCGTATCGGTCGTTTTGGAAAGTGTTGCAAAAAAAGATCCAGCCATGACAGCAAACGATATAGAGCGAAAGTGTAAACGCCCCTCTCTCTCTCTCTCTCTCTCTCTTTCTCTCTCCGTGGCTCTCCTGCCCCTCCCTGACCCGTTCCTAGCCCCCCATCTTTTCTCGCTCTCTCGTTCTACGTCGTGCACCCGTCTCCGTCACACCCGCGCTCACTGTTGCGCAGTTTTCGAGGTCACCTCAAGTTCATCATCGATAATAGCACAAGGCGAAAACAAGCAGCTAGACCTGGGCGTCCCCGATAAGTACATACTACAGATAAAAAATTCCATCGGATTTGGTTCAGAACGAACTTTCGTTTGGCCTTGGGAGGCGCCGCGTACGCAGCCGAAAGTAAATTGCCAACGCGGATCGTTGGCTACCGAAACGAACGACGAGAGGCAGAGAGGGACGGAGACGGCTGAAGGAAGAGAGAGGAGCGAGAGAGAAGGAGCGAGATGAGTAAGTATCGAGTAAATAGACGTATGCAAGGAGGACTCGCGGACGTCACGTAAGCAAGAGGCAGACTTTTGCACACCATCGGAATCGACAACGTCGACAGATGGCAGCATGAATTCCGTGTTTCGCAAACAGGCCATTAGCAAACGTTACGTAACCCAAAATTTCTTTCCTTCGCTGCTGCTGCTGCTGCTGCTGCTGCTACTACTACTAGTTTTTCGAGTGGTTCCAACGCCAAACGCCTTAACCCGTTTCCCTTCCCCCGTTCCTGCACCCTTTCCTTCGTCGTGCCACGCTACGTAAGATCTTTTCCCTACGAGGAACGCTCGTTTAACCGAGGACAGGGAACAAGAAGGAGAAAACAAAGGTGGAGAAGAAGGAGAGAAAAAGTAGAGAAGAACGAAGAGGAAAAGTCCCACCGATGGAATCCCGTTGCACCGCGGAACCCGCGACGTGGACCGCGACTTTCGTGCGAAAGAATTCGGTCGGCCATTACGAAAAAGGAAGAAGAAAGAGAGAAAAACGAAAGGAAAAACGGGGAAGAAGAAGAAGCAGAAGAAGAATAAGAAGAATAAGAAGAAGAAGAAGAAGGAGAAGAATACGTCGTGGCGGCGCGAGGTATGTCCGGCACTGGGAACGTCCCGTGAAAAGAAGCAGAAGAAGAATAAGAAGAAGAAGAAGAAGGAGAAGAAGGAGAAGAATACGTCGTGGCGGCGCGAGGTATGTCCGGCACTGGGAACGTCCCGTGAAATAAATATTTGCTCGATGCGCTGCAACGCGCCCTCTGATACAAAGAGACAGAGAAAGAGGATAAAGTGCTCGACTCCAGAGCTCGGCACCCGCTATTTTTATGCGGCCGGGTTTTACAACAGGTTACCGCGGATGCAGGCGTTCGCGGAAAAGAGCAGAAAACGAGAGGAAATAAAGGAAGAAAAAAGAAGAAACGGGGGAGAAGTCGGGGGCGGGAGAAAGGAAGGGAGGAAGAGAAAAGGGAATCGCGACGGTGGCGGGACCGTGGCGGCAGCAGTCCCGCTACCAACGCCGCTGCGTATCGGCTTTTTAAACAATTTTAGTGGCGAGCGGGAAACGGGCTAAGAATATCTAGGCCCGGGGAAAAAAATTTCTCCTCTCTTTGCGATAATGACATCGAAACCGGCGAGAAACGCGGGCATAGACGCGCGCGGAGAGAAAGGCGCGGAATGAATAGATTTAAAATTAGACCGCGATAAACGCATCTTTCTCCGAGTGTCGGCTCTATGCAAAACTTCTCTCGGTGGGCACACGCGCTTAATAAACCAAGCTCGGCCGAAGACGTACACGGCGACGCGCGAAATATCGCCACGGAGACGACGATCGCGCGTCGTCGGACGTCGCGCGTGATGGCCACGCGTTTCTCACGGAAACAAAACGAAGGAAAGGAAAGAAATAACGGGAGAGGATCGGTAAAAACGCGCGTCGATCGACGAAACGATTATTTCAATTTCAAATGGTACGCGCGAAATTCATCGTTTCGGTAAAAAACAGACAGAGTGCGAAAGGTTAACACGATCGATCGTATAATTTCCATTGTTTCGCGCGATTTCCTCTCGTCGATCTATAAAACCGTGCATTCCTAACGACCGCGGGGAGAGTTTGATGTAGCCAAACGACGATGACGAAGACATTGACGACGACGACGACGACGAGGACGAGGACGTATAGCGCGGTAGAAAGTTCGAGCAAATTCGTTTGTAAATTTTTTCCTCCAGCCGACGAATCTGCCTAGAAACACGCGGACTGCCATATGCTCGCAGCCGGCTCTGCCGGAATAAAAAGATGTTAACCGAGCGGAGTAGAGAAGAGAGCGAAGGAACAAAGAAACTCGCGCTCTCGTCTAAGGCTGATCGCGCGACAAGTGGTCGTACGTTGTACTTTCTATCTGGCAAGATTGTTTTTTACGTAACCAGCCATTACGAATTAAAGACGATTAAAGAACGGCCCGACCGGGCGCGCTATTCGCTGACAAGAATAAAATTTCACTTTATCGCCGTGCCGAATAGATAACGCGCGCTTTCCAAATTGATCTACGAAACTTCTAGATCTTGCTCTCCCTCTCTCTCTCTCTCTCTCTTTCACTCCCGCTCCCAACCCCACCCCGCCCATCTGGCCCGGTACATCTGGTAAAAATCGCCACTATTAATCACTATCGCTATTATCGCGATGAATCGTTTAATACTCGAAACCGGCTCGTCGGTGCTCGATATCTCGCGTATAATATAACACGCGTACGCGGTCGTGTTCGGCGCAGAGCAACGCTAGAAAATCGAAAGCTCGGCGTGGCTCGTGCATTTAATTTTAACGCCAACTCGAGAACCGTTCGTCGTTAACAAACGAAAACGGAGTAGGCGGAAAGTTTCGCGGGACCGACGACCCTGCACAGCGGACTATCTCTCCGGCCTGTTCGACGGCTGAAACCTTGCCAAAATCACGTCGTTGCAGTTTACTCGGTCGATCCAGAAGAAAAAAAAAAAAAAAAAAAAAGGAGAAAAAAAAACGAAAAGGAAAAAAAAAAAAAAAATTGTTCATCGCGAGCGGGTGCGCGCGCGCGGCCGCGATAGATACGGCACCGAACGACAAGCCTTAGCCGAGATAAAAATGCGAAAAAACAAACGGGCATTCGGCGCGTACACATCGCTGCAAATGACCGATTAGAGAGGTGTGTGCGTGCCTCGGATAGGATTTTTCGACCAACAAATTTTCGCGGTCAAAGAATGATGCGCGCGCACGCGCGCGGTATCGTTTTTAACTGCCGGCCCAAACAACCCGTCTATTTTTGCCGAGAAACGCCGTAACGTCCTCTGCTCCGTTCACTGCGTTTTGTTGTCTCGCGAATGAAGGAAACCGAGATGCAAGGAGAAAGAGAGCGTTTGTACGCGTGTATGAGTAAGGGAGAAAGAGAGAGAGAGAGAGAGAGGTGGGGGGAGGAGTTTTGAAAAAGAAAAAGAGCGAGCGATGTTGGCGCGGAGAGAAAATACAGCGCGTTAGGCTGCGGGTCGAACACAGCTTCGCGAACCAGCCACGTATAATTTAATGTGTCTAATGATTCGCAGTGCGCCGCAAGAACGTGAGTGGCGTACCAAGGTCGTCGTATTTTTAGTTAGGCCAATGTTTAGTTGGCCACGTTCGTCGGAGATAGAGGGACCTTGAATTTTGCGGATAACATCTGCGCTCTTATCGACGGCCCCTGATAACTTTTTCAGTACTAACCTAGTATAAGCCAGCCGTTCAAATATTAATCGAGAAGACGGCGAAACCGCACCTGAATTTACTTAACGACACTGTGTGTTAGGACGCATTTATTTAAAGACCTTTCCCTGGCGACCGCGGGACCAAAAAAACAACGTAATCCATGATCGGCGCAATTTCTTTTCCCTTCCTTCTTTCTTCTTTCGCTTTCTTCTTTCCGTTCTTCCTTCCTTACGTGTTACGCGATTCGCGAAACTTTCGCGCAAAAGTTTAGGCGAGTCGACGGCGCGTCAGACGACGCACGACGAACGCGCGTTCGTCGTTCGTTTGCTCCCTATGGCGAAGAAACGAGGAAAAAAGGACCGTGTCTCGCACACACGTCTTCGACCGGTCTAACAGAACACGCGTATCTCGACATGGAAACGAGAACACCTCGTATTCCCTCGGCAAAAGTCGCAACGTTAAAACGTTTACCGTTATTAAGCGAGTTTACCGTTAACCCCCGCCCCCCAGCGTGCGCGTCGCACGACCCCCGAATATGCATGGCACACGAGCGTGACGCGTACACCGTGGAAAGAGAGCGAATTCCTCGTTTGGGCGAGTGAGAGAAAAAATAAAAAAAAAAAAAAAAAGAAGAAAATGCCAATAAGTCGGAAGATATACCGTAATAACGTTACCATATGGTACACGCACGTCAGGGTCAAATGTCGCTCGAATAACATAAAAGAGAGTGATAAACTTGGACGACCTATCACATCCTCTTTCGTAATTGGAAACGAGCAAGCTGCAAAGTGTCTCGTGACGAAATGTTTCACGATTATAATTACGTACACTTACGGTGTAATTGTAAGCCTTTAAATTGCTACATACGATAATGTCTTGTAAAATATATATATATGTATATATATGGTAAAAGAAAAGTATATAAATACGTCGATCGATATGTGCGCCAATACGTATGCACGTATACGCGATACGTATGTAGAAAGTTATAAATATATATATGTATATTCGTAAATATAAAATTATAAGCAATGTCATAATGCTTTCGTATCGGTGATATCGCGGCAGCGGCGTGTATTCCGTTACCAAACGTTAATGGGACGACAACACTGATACAAAACTTAACGATGAATTGGACAATACGAGCACGGCACGCATAAATAGAGCGAAAGATCAATCGTCGATAAACCGACACTTGACGCGACTCGCGAAACTCAAAGCGTTAATAAATCGGTGATACTTTGGCCAACTTCTTTTCAGAATTGATCAGGTGTACACAAAGAGAACAGTCTGTCGCTGCATCGTTACTCGTCAACTTCTTCTGTGCTATTTATTTTTGTTTCTTATTTTCATATTTTTCTTCCAAATTTCCCGTTTTACTCTTTCGCGTTTTACTTTTTTGTTCTTCTCGAATTTTAGGGGGATTTTTTCGTTCTTTTCGCTTTTATTTTTTTCTTTCTTTTTTTTTTCTTTTCATTTTTGAAACACGCTAGATATCGCGCGGCGAATACTTTGTACAGCGATGCCAAAACAGTGATGGTTTCTTTCGGTAGCTTTGTGCCAATTAGAATGATCGCAACGAATTCGACGACACGAGAGAACGAATGTATCTGCTGTTCTTTGCCCGTAATCATCCACGGAGAACGTCTCCGCTCTATAAAACGTATCGATCGCGTGCAATTCCACGACGCATTTTCGTTTCAACCTGCGGATACAGGGGAAGCAGCGTCGCGACGCGACTTAAACGGATCCGAATACGGACGCGATAATAAACGCGACGGTGGGAAACAGAATCGTCCCGTGGCTGTTAAACATTCGGGAAAGTTGAAAAAAAAAAAAAAAAAAGGTGGGCGAGAAATATGGCGATAAACGTTAACGCGAAAAAGGAAGGACGATAGGTCAGCAGATAAATCCCTTCTAACGTCGCGAATTCGTTGATAATCGCGGAAACGTTATGACGTCATGAAATGCAAATGCAAGGCGATTCGGTAAATGGTATCATTTAAGTAATGATGATATCGATGATTTTTGTAACGCATGCCAATTAGAAGAAGTTTTAATCGTCCAAGCAGACAGTAGTGCTCTTTCACCGCAACCAAATAAAAAATATATGTATATGTATATAGATATATATATATGTATATTCATTCTTATAATTCGTGATTTGTTAGTGTTCGATATAACTGCACAAGTCTTTTAGTTACTTTTTATTAGAGCGAACCGCTACACCGCAGACAATTGCGGCCACGATGTATCGACTGTCGATAGAAAATAATGGAACAGCATAGAAGTGCCCTTTGAAAAATCAAAAGAAATCGAAGGTCCGAGTCCAGCCGGACAAATGGATCGTACGTGATTAATTCGCGAAAAATGATCGCGCGTGGTCGTACGAGTTAAAACGGCAAACGAATAAAATATGTATACGTGTATGTACATCTGACGTGCACGTCTCTTCGAGAAGTCCCCCCGCGATCGACGATTCTGATGATTTTTACAGGGCAAAGAGCTAATAGTAAACTTTCTTACCTTGCGAAGTTCCTGCCAAGTCCGGTGGTTGCAACCCATGGCCCAATCCTGGAAATTTCACTATCGTCACACGTAGCAACGAACGTCCTCCCACGAGGAACGATCGAACGGCGGCCTGTACGCAGCATCGCAATTAACGGAGACCCCTCTACGATCGTTTTTCGACTAGACCCCGTGACAACGAGGACGCGGCGACGATGGTGGAAAAGTATAAAACGTCCTTGTCCCCCGATACGATGAATTCTACCCGCGTTTCGAATGCAAGAACCAAACGCGCGCGCGCGAGACAGAGAGAGAGAGAGATAGAGAGAGAAAGGACGACGCGGAGAAGAAGAGAGAAAAAGAAAAACAAGACGAAAGCGAGTGTCGAAGAGAGATAGAGAGAAAGGACGACGCGGAGAAGAAGAGAGAAAAAGAAAAACAAGACGAAAGCGAGTGTCGAGAAAGAGAAAGCAACCGATGCACCGATACAGACGACGAAAATTGGTCGATGCGTACAGGCCTAGCGGAAACGTAATTTATCTACGTACCTGACAATGGTGTTGGCTCCGTGGCTAGCGCCGCCATACTGAAATTAAAGCCTCCAGGCGTGGGCGGGAAGAGTTTCGTTTCGGACAAAAAATTCGATGTGGACGTGTGTTCGGATTCGGCCTCGTGCTCGTTACTGCTGGCCGATGCGGGTGGTCGGTCCGACGCCGCAGCACCAGAGTCCGACGAATCTTCGTTGTTGCCCCCGTTACCACTGTTACCACCTGTCAGCTCCAATGGCTCGCATTTGATCTTGTCTTCCAGGGGGCTGTTCTCCTCGTGCACGCCGTTCCCCTCGACCTTGCTCGACAGATGGTTGTTCTTCACCATAGAGAAATCCGTGGGCGTAGCGTCGTTGTTGTTGAGCGGTGGCGACGGCACCCTCGGCTTCTTCGCCGACTCATCGTGAGGATCCGGCGTTCGTCTCTCGTTCCTGCGTATCTGCGCTCTGCGTAGCAATTGCTGCACGGTCGTCGGTGTCGGGGTTACTGGCGTGGGTGGAGAACCACCCCGGGGAAAACTCCC